ACGTATCTCTGGATTTTAGGGTTTGGAAAACTATCCAGGAATCCTTGCTTTGCATTTGCAGAATTCATGGTATTTTGGCATATCATGTTGCTGTACAGTTTGCAAAAGGCATCTTTTTTTGCTACAACTATTTGAATATACGATTTGTCCATTGTGCAAATAAAAAATGTCATGAATATATTTTAATAACAATAATGCTTATATTTTATATGTTTGTGTCATTTCAAATGTTTAAAAGTGCATTTCAGTCTGACAAAGAACCAGGAGAAGGTGATATGCTGCCCACCCATTCTTCATGTTCCATTTGTGATGGTGCTGAACCGTACATTTTCACTTGGAGATGCCTCAAACACAATTTATTTCTCGTCAGACTCTCAGTGTAGCAATCTGTTCTGGACTTTTGACTGTGTGCCTTCTTATCAGTGCTCACCAGAATGCTGGGACCCTGTTGGCCACAAGTCATGTCATCCCTTGATATCACTTTTAACACAACTGTTAAAAAGCTCCAATGTTGGAAAGGGTCAGCTGGTCACAGTTTTCACATGCCTCTTCATATGTTGTTGTGAATAAGACTAATAAGCATCTTATGTATGGTACAATGTGTTTAAAACATGTAACAATGCCTTTTTTGCCATTTATAAAAAAGTTATTTGCATAAAACAATGCAAAGTTTTATTTTTTCAGCAAAACTGATCTAGCATAATAAATGACATACTTCTCACCTTTTCTGCATGCAGAAGTGTGGATGTTCAGCTTGCAAATGTGCCTCAAAAAGCACTTTATTCAGACCAGGGTAGTGTTTTTTATTTATTTATTTATTTATTTATTTATTCAGTGCCTTGATGATTTGGATGAAAATGGAAGGCTCTATCATTTTGTCCCAATGCATGATTAGTGCTGTTACAAAGAGAACACACATTTGCCGGTGGAGGAGGGTGCTATCATGTTTTTATTTATTTATTTTTACCTTTTTACAGTAGTGCTATCCAGCTGATCCATTATTGTCTATAACATGTTTTCACTAATACCTGCTGGCAAATGTTTACATCTAGGAATCAAACTCAAAACCAAAAATATCACAGTGCATTTTGACTTTAAATTGATCATCATTGAAAACTCTACATGAGTTAACATTGCATCCATTTTTGATGTATGGCAAAAGAAGTGCCTGTTTTTTTGTGACCCTAACATGAATTAAAATGTTTGAAAAGAGTGTCAAATAAGGACAGCTGGGAAGGCATCTGCACAATGTAAATTATATCACGATGGCCTGTCTGGATCTGTATGATATCAGACATGCTGTTTATCTAAAATTCATAGAGACCGTGGCACTGGACCTGAGACTGTCCAGGACAGTTTACACTGCAGGGACTCGTGTTTTCTCTTGTGTACAGAGGACGCAGGGCGGAAGTATGACTCATGATGTTAATATGTTCTAAAACAAAAAAAAAACAAACAAAAAAAAAAACTACGCTATTATCAGTATGTTTTTTGGCTAATATAAGTGAATACTGTTTTTTTTTTTTTACCCTCATTACATTCTGGCCCGGTTTCAGTTTTCTGAAATACACATGATCGTTTTGGCATCTAACATTGCACACTGGAGACATTTCATTATCATAATGTACCATTAAATATATAATTCACTAATTAATATGGCTGACTTGTCTTATAGATTTAGCAAACATGGGATCTAGATCTGAGCAGAAATCAATGTCTTGTGCTGAGACCAGACTGAATTAGTGTTAGATCACATCTGAGGACACAAACAGGGTCAGTTTGGTCTGATGATTTCATTGGCAGAACGTGACAATAATATTGTGTAAACACGTGTTGTATTCATGGCTCCAAACATTAGCACGCTGATCAGCAGCAATGGCCACTTCATGGCTGCACAAACTGAGCAGCAGATTAACGAGAGCCATGCGAAAGAAGCACATCTCCACTGAATCCCCGAGGCCATATCTCCAGGCAGCCCAGTGTTTCTCAGACAAAGGATATATAGAGCTACATTAAATCACTGCCTGCTGGTAGTTTTCTGGATTGAGAAACTGTCAGATTGCTTCCTCTGGCTTGAAAGAAAGCTTTGTGGCTGTAAATGAGAAGATGGGAAGCTGCGGCTCAGGTGTGTGAGAGGGGGTCATTAGAGGTTCAATTCCCACTTTCTGCTGACAAAATATCTAAATCCCTCTGCAGTACACAAAACTCCAAATTGCTTCCAACCGTAGCAGGCCAGTAAGTGATGTT